GAAGAACAAGAACAAGAACAAGAAGAACAAGAAGAAGAACAAGAAGAACAAGAAGAAGAACAAGAAGAAGAACAACAAAAACAAGAAGAAGAACAAAAACAAGAAGAACAAGAACAAGAAGAAAAACAAGAACAAGAAGAAAATGACAAAGAAAAAGGAGTAGAAGAAGAAGAATAGAAAAGATTTGGCGTATTGTGCGCACTAATGCAATGAGATGCGGGCCAGGAATAAGGAGAGGGGACGTACGTGACCAAGACAGGCCAATAATTGTAACGACCGAGAGGAAACATGCAGTAAGGTAAATTTTGAAAATTTAATCAAAATATTGACTAGAATTACTAGAATGTTCTGACTCCATCTTTCATGTGTGGATGAGGGTATGACGTGACGGTAAAGAAAGAGAAATGGCGTTAAAAACCCAATCAGACAAACCCTCTTGCTTAATTTACTATGAAAACAATAAGGTGATTCCTCGGTTGTGAGGAACAGACTATTAGTTGTACGGCGTGAAACTTTCACCGGATGCCTGACCCCAATCTCGCCTAAATCGATGAGTGACGCGTCTCTACTTTTTTGTCTCCGGTCACAAGCTCTGATTATGTGAGCGATATTACACTGGTCCAAGGACCTTAGAACTAAACTCCTTGCACTAGTCGAGTCTACCTAACAGATGTGAGGGGAACTAACTCCTAATAATATCTTGACTGCTGAGAGTGCTTGTTCCCCCCCTCCCCTCGACTTTTTACCGTCCTATAATCAGATCGTGACCTCGATTATGACACCCGCTCCTGGCCGCGAAACACTAGACAAAAACAGCCAATTGTGAAATAAAAAATTAATAATTGTCATATTCTACCAAAGAGTTTAGTCTCCCTGGTATCAATTACTGTAGTAGTAGTACTGACATCTCTGCTTCTTTGCTTTGTGTTTTAGAAGTAGATCTAGTACAGGGTTTTACGGCGCTTGCAACTGCATAAGTTCATATGAGCGCGCGAAACACAAGTTGGTAGCATTCACAATAGTTCACTGCACGGTTGGTTGACAATTAGACTTTAAAATGCTAAAATACTAAAATTCAGTGTAAATATATTTGCGATTTAAAACAACTCTTATAAGTAACAATAAAAATTTTAAATAGTACGATTTCACTTTACAATTTGCCATAAAGGCCAATGGCCTTCACAAAATTCAAAATTTTGCTGGGACCAACAACGGAAAAAATGTCTTGCAATTTCTTGAATTTATTTCCTTCGGATTTCTCCAAAGTCTAGACATTCGGTTAAGATGTGCCTAATGGTAAAATCTGTGTCGCATCCGACACAGAACGGCTTCTCATCTCCTTTTAGGAGGTATTTGTGGGTCAGGGCCGTGTGTCCGATGCGCAATCGAGTAAAAATGACTTCGTCTCTTCTGGAGAGGTCCGAAGGATTTCGCTGTTCTAGTTTGGGTTTTATAACATATAGTTTATTGGGTTTTTTTCTGTTTTTCCCAGTGGCTCTCCCACATACTGGAGGTGTACTTTTTTTAACTTTATTTCTTAAGTTAGTCTGAGGGAGAGTGTTTGTCGTTGATCCCAGTAGAAGGGATGAGGCTTTCTTCGCCAGGTTGTCCACCTGCTCGTTTCCTCGGATGCCCACATGGCTAGGTATCCATGCGAACATGATGTTTTTTCCTGTTTCGGATAGTGTATGAATTTTCTGTTGTAGCCTAACTATTTTTGGATGTAGGAGTGTGTAGTTTGTGAGTGAGGTGATGCAAGACAGAGAGTCAGAAAGAATAAGGCAGGAAACATTTATTGTTAGGAGAGTTTTCTACGGAGTCCAGTGCCATGTCAATGGCAGTGGCCTCCGAGGAGAAAATGGAGGCTTCAGGATGGAGTGGTCTCTGGTGTGTACTGTTGGAAGATAGGGCTGCGGCGCCTACTTCATTGTCTTATTTGGAGCCATCTGTGGAGATGAGCTCCGCACCGGGGTATTCATCTATTAGTTTTTTGTATTCTGCTTTAAAAATCTTGGTGTTTGCACTTTCTTTGTTGTGTGTGGTCAGCTGTAAATCTACTTTTGCCTTGGTGAGGTGCCACGGAGGGAGGTCGGGAAAAAGAATTTGTTGGATGTCTTGTTTACGATTCTGAGGCCGAAGGGTTTGATGAGTTTTTCGTTGTTTTGGAATTCGTTTATGGTTTCTGGGTTTGTTTTAAAAATGAAGTTGTGCGCTGGATTTTCCGGTGTTGAGCTCTGTTTAATTGCGTATTGTAGTGAGAGTTGTGTGCGTCTGAGTGAGAGTGGTGGTATGTTGGCCTCGGCCTGGAGGCTCTCCACCGGAGAAGTGCGGAAAGCCCCCAGAGCAAGGCGGAATCCTTGGTTTCGTACTGGATCAAGCATTTTTAAGATGTGTGGTTTTGCCGATCCGTAGACTGGACAGCCGTAGTCAAGCCTGGACCGGACAAGGGAGATGTACAAGTGGAGAAGGTGTTTTTGAGTCCCCGCCCCACTCCGGATGCGATAGAGTTTTCAAAGCGTTTAGCGCTTTTTGGCACCTCACACGAAGGTCTTTCATGTGTTGTATGAATGTGAGTTTTTTGTCGAAAATGACGCCGAGGAAACGAGCTTGGTCCTGGACGGGGAGAACTTGAAACCGTTATTGTTTGCCCACTTTTCGAGTTTGTGCAGCTGCGTTTGCAGCTGTCTTTCCATAGATCTCAAAAGAGGATTTTTCGAACGGCAGCATATCAAAAAGTCATCAACGTATAACGAGCTGTCTATGCTGTTTTGGTGGGTTTTTACTATGGAATTTATTTTAATTTCGAATAGGAGAGGAGAAAGGATGCTCCCCTGGGGGACTCCTTTCTCTTGTTGGTGGGAGGTCTGAAAGGGAGGATCCGACACGAACCTGGAAGGAACGGTTCTTCAGGAAGTTGCCAAGGAAGGCAGGGAGGTGACCGCGTATTCCGAGTGCGCGCAGGTCTCGAAGAATGCCGTACTTCCAGGTTGTGTCGAAGGCTTTTTCTAGGTATAAAAAAAATGGCGATCATGTGGCCTCCTTCAGCGAACGTCTCGCGTATAAAGGTCTCCAGGTGGACCAGGTGATCCAGAGTGGATCGAATTTTCCTGAATCCGCACTGGAGACCGCTCAGCGAGCCCGTCGTCTCCAGAAACCACATGCGTCGCCTGTGGATCATTTTTTCGTTGAGTTTGCA